TCAGACTTTTTATCTCCAGAAGTATAAGATCATAAATCTGTGTTGTTTATAAACCACCAAGATGGGAGTGGCCTTCTGGGCAGAGCCGGGAAGCGGGTCTCCAGTGAACCACCACTACTTTCCACACCCCCTCCAGAGTTGTGTGTTCACCAGCAGCACCCTGTGGCACGTGGGTAATGGTTTCCCCACAGGAAAACAAACAACTCACCAGAGATGCTTATAGAAACTAAGGCAGATTTCATGAGGGCTTTCAGTCCTGGTAGTGTAGGGGTTACGCATTGGGCTGTAACCAGCAAGGTTGGCAGTTCGAAACCACTAGCTGCTCTGTGGGAGAAAGATAGGGCTTTCTATTCCCATAAACAGTTACAGTCTTAGAAACGCACAGGGGTAGTCCTACCCTGTCCTATAGGGTCGCTATGAGTTGGCATCAACTCAGTATGAGTTGGCATCAACTCAATGGCATTGACTGTGTGAGAACATGAGGGCAGTTTGCTATAGTAACAATAGAAAATGCAAACAGTTCCTAATTTTTAACATGGCTAAAAGCTCCTTTCTCCCTGCTAGAGAAACCCTGGTACAGTGAGTTAAGCAATAAGCTACTAACTGTAAGTTCAGCAGTTCAAACCCACCAGCTACGCCTCAGAAGGCAGATGAGGCACTCTGCTTCAGTAAAGATTTATGGTCTCGGAAACCCTAGATAACAGTTCTACTCTATCTGGTGAGGTGACTATGAGTTGGAATCAACTCAACAACAATGGGTTTGGTTTGATTTGGGTTCTTGCTGCTAGGGTCTTATCTTTAGTATATAGGTTCTTGGCTTGAATTTGGATTCTATTTGCAGTGTTTAAACTTATTCCTAAAAACTCATGCCAAGTTTTAATTTGTTTGAAACCAAGAAATCTACCGCAAGACCCATTGTCCTAATGCTTTACAAATTATCCAATATCAAATAAAATATACTGGGGCAAGAATTGCAGTAATAGGTTTCATAAATAAAACACATTACTTATAAAACTTTATTTAATGCAGTAAATACAAACTGTCCACTTGATTTAAATGAATTTAAACTATTATACCTAGATGAACTCAGTTTAATATTAGCTGAGTCACCGAATATAATTCTAGTCATGCTTAGATCAGAAAAAATACTATAAACCGGAAATATTTAATTTCAGTCTTAAATATTAAAAGTGAGACAGAGAGTAAGGCAGCAAATCCTGAAAACTCAAGGCCAAATAGTCTGACGGTGACTAATGTTTTCTTATGAATGTATGAGCACAGACAGTAGCACAGGTTCACCAACTCGTGAACCTAAAATTACCTTCATGTGGGACAGAACCCGAGTTCAACAAAGTTTTCCTCTGAACAGGTTTTAGTCTCAAAAATAACCAGTAGGTTAAAATCTTGAGCTAAACAAACAAAAAATTTATTTATAACAAGGATAAATTTCAGCCCTAGGGATTCAAAGGCATTAATCATTAATTAGAAGTTGGAAGTCATACGCTTAAGAAAAAGTGAGGTATAAAGTGGGGAGGAGCATATTTAGCCCAAGAAAAGTCAGATCAAAGGAAATCAAGCACAGATTAACCCACAGAGCAGTGTCTAAACTCATCCTGTGCTTACTTTTAAGTTTATTACTTGATATGGAATATCGGTGATCTGATAGGCACTGTTCTAGGTGTTTGGGATATATCAGTAAACAAAAAAACAAAGATCCAGGTCCTCATGGAACGTTACATGCCAGTGTAAGGAGAGAGAAACAATAAACACACCAAATATTTGTGATAGGCTACTTCTAAATGGCTCCCATGATCCCTAGGACTTGCTTTTATGTAACTCCCCTCCTCGTGTGTGGGCTGAACCTAACTAACAGGCAAAGTAATGGGACATCACTTCCAAGACTAGGTTATAAAAACTCTCTCTTGCTCTCTTTGTTGACTCTAGTGAAGCCAGCTACCCTCCTGAGGAGGCCAGTTCTGGTAACGAGTCACACATGGCGAGAAACCGAGGGCTGGCCGTGAGGCCACAGGCAGCACTAACTGAGGCCCCCGTCTGACGGCACACAGGGAACCAAGTCCTGCTGACAACCCAACCACAGGAGCAAACTTAGATGTGGATCCGTCTCGGTCAAACCTTGAGATGATTAAGTCCCTAGCCAACACCTGGGTTGCAGCCAAGTCACAATCAATGTTGTTTAAAGTTGCTTCGTTCTGAGTTAATTATTTTATGCTGTAACACAAGGAGGCTGTGGTGGTTACATAATCTCGTGTCAACTTGAGTGTATTAAAAGTGAATGGGGAGGCGTCTAGCCTGTCAATCGGGTCTCAGCCTGATGTTGCCTCCTTGTGGGCATGGCCTTCCCATGAAAATTCTAGTAACTTCTCTCTCTTGATTCTGCCATCAGAAGAGTTGGTGTCTCTCTCTCTCCCCCAGCTCTTCCCTCTCCTCTCCCTCTCCTTGGAACCTCCTGTTGACAAGCCACGTGGAACCTTGTTGAGGAGCCACACTCAGAGAGCTGGAAGAGCCACACAGAGACCCCCACCAGCACTGAGGTGCTTCCACAGCCATTGGATCCACAAGACTTTGCACTGACTGGCCTGTGTGATCTTCCTGAATTCTGCATCATTACATGTGGCTGTGTGAGTCTGAAGAGGAAGTTAAGGACTATTTCAGAGTTATGGGCTAATATCAGACTTATGGACTTGATCTGGATTGAGCTGGGATGTTTTCTCAATATACAATTGCTCTTTGATATAAAGTTCTCTCTTACACACATATGAGTGTCTCTGGATCTGCTTCTCTAGCTGACCCCGTCTAACACAGGGGCTTCAAGAAGTCTTGAGAAAAGTGCAATAAAATATCATGGAATTTTTCCACTATCTTTTTGAATCTCCCTTGGAGAAAGCTAATAGGTAAATTATACAATATATTAAACAGGATTTTTTTAAATGTACAGGAAGTTAACAGTTGAGAGTAGTTCAAGTTGCAATTTTAAAAAGGGGGATTACAAAGACTT